AGGTCATTCTACCATCTGGATTGTCTTAAGGTGTAGACACTGCTAGATCAAAGATTGGAAATTAAGATGGAATTTAAAAGGACTGAATTAAATGAGCGTGACTTAAAGACACTGCTGATTGTTGGTGTTCAGGCTTGACTAATTCCTCAATGACATTTACTCTTTCATCATCACCATGGTGTCCTCTGTCAACCTAATCACTGTAATTGCCTTCATTATTGCTATTTTTCCATGACCCGGATCAATTTCCTCCCATCCCATCATCATCATCAACATGTCCCCTGGGGCCAGTAGGAGTGCGAGATGTTGCACGGGGACTTTGAGGGAAGCGCCTGTGGCCCCCATGGCCCTTATATCCCGGACGTCCTCTTCTGGTGCGTGGTCCTCTTCTTTTCCACCGTTTTTATGTCCGCTTTCCTCAAGGAGTTCAAGACCAGCCGCTACTTCCCTACCAAGGTATGTGGAGCTGTAGCCACATCTCTCCCTCCATAAAAAAGAAAAAGGTGGTTAGGGTTAGGATGACATGATTATATGGCTATAAATGACAAAGTTCATCATATTATTAAAGAAAATATCAATTGTAAAAAAACAAATGAAGTAAATCATCCAAAGATGGAAAGAAATACAAACAATTTAAAATAAATAAATGTATCATCTAACCCCTCTTTCCCTCAAACACAAATACAGACAAAGAGAAAACCAAACCAAATCGAACACACAATAGTCAAAGTGTTTCAGTGATGGTCAAAGAAAATCAAATTCTGGTGTCCGGTTGTATGAAAACATAGTCAATAAAGTGTTGGCGCGTGGGGTTGATGGCTGCAGGTGTGGCCTTTACAGTCTGATTTCAAAAGCTTTCCCAGCCTGAGCTAATGCTGCCATCTTTTGGTCGTTTAGGGACTGGGGAAAAAAAAAAAGACAAAATATCCTGCAGCCTGTGTGGCGTTTCTCTGTACGCTATGTCTGCCCGGTGACGTGACACACACCAGCGTCATGTGTGGCGTGATGTGAAGCCACATAGTATCATCGCCATCTTGTGGGGATGAATATTGCGCTGTGGTCTATCTGAGGCACCAGCTGTTGTGGTTTGTCAGTTCAACACCGGCACATGGGCATTGTCAACATTTATGGTTCTCTCAGATGATAAACGTCCTCTGGAGGACTGAGAGACTGCTTTTGCCTGCACGAACAGATAGTTACACGCCTGATCATAATCTTCAGAGAAGTTAAGAGATTGGAAGGATTTGCATTTTGCACTGTTGAATCTTAAGATGGTTCCAAGTAGAGCTTAAGTGCGGCCAAGAGACAAAAATCTTTGGTCTGTTAGGAAAGCATTTCATAAGAAAAAGCCTCTTTGGAGGGCACATCTCCTTCGACGTCATAGAATCACCCATTTGGACTTTGCAAGAGTTCAGCAAAAACATGGGACATTCACAGGTGGATGAAAGCTTTACTGTCTGGCAAAGAATATGTATTATTGACGGTTGTGATTGCTTCCAACGTCACTGTCATGGCAAGGAGATCCCAAGTGATCCCATGAATAAGGGATCCATTGTGGTCGGGGGTGCAGCTTCCTACCATGGAGCGATGGAGCTTCAGGCCGTGCAGGAGCGTCAAACAGCAGCTGGCTTTGGGCAGCCGGCATCCCTCATACTTTCTGTTTATCTTTCTTTTCATGGATGCAATATTGCGTTTATAAGAGGGCCGTGTGTCTCATTTTTCCCTCTAGGTGAGGGCCATCATCAGCGACTTCGCAGTCTTCATCACCATCCTCACCATGGTGTTAGTAGACTACGCTTTGGGGATCCCCTCACCAAAATTGCAGGTCCCCAACAAGTTTAAAGTGAGTCCGCATGGAAGCCGAAATGCAATAAAACGTCTGCATTGTTTTGCATAATGTCAAAATAAGCCTCCTGCAGTTAAGGACTGGACTGAACAACTAGGGAAAGGAGGATGGAACAAACATCTTTAGGGTAAGAACACATGAAGGAAGTCAAGAGGCTTTAAGGCCCAAACCACGTGCCTGACCTCAGCTGTGGGAGGCTTCATCTGTAATCACCTACAGTGTTGATCTTTGGAACCACTTCTAGATTATGATCGACAATCATGTCAAATCTTCTGAAGGCACAAGGACAAACATGTTTCAGCCTTGTCTTTTTAGGTCTATGACATATCCTCATTTAAATCAGAAAGACAAACAAAGCCCCTCCCCCTGAAAAAAAGACAAAAAAACAAACGCAACAAACAATAAAAAAGTTGAATCAAACAATTAACTGTCAACCTCTGCCTGAAGGATAAAAAAGGAAATAAATAGATTAAAACCTGTATTTCAGGCTTTTAGAACAAACCAAATGGCTTAAATTGTTTGAAATCTCAGTGAGTTATTATGGTAAGGAGCTGTGGGAAGATCTCTGCAAACAAACCTGGTTGCTCTGAATCTGATGTGAGGTAACAAAGCTGACAAACTGCAGGCCCACTAAAATTCCAAACGTGTTTTTTATTTCACTGAGTGAAGAACCATGTCTCATATATTCTTTGCCGAGTAGCTGCTCAGGCGCCTTTGACAGACCGCAGGGGGACGCTTCGGCTGAGAGCTGTCGCTGTATCTAATGCTGCATTCGCTGACGGGAACTGAGAATTTCAGATCCACAAGAACTTCGATTTCCGAGTCGGTTACCTGGGTAAGGTTCAGCAACCCTGACTTCTGCAATTTTTTTCTCCCCCCATCCCCCCGAGAAAGGTAACTTGCGCCAAAAAAAGTTAAATATGGATGTGATCGAGTGAAACGTTAGACGAGGATCTTCAAGAGCCTTTAAAAAAAAAAAGTTTTTCTCTTTTCCTTTTTTCTCTTTTGTCAAACAAACTATAAAATAGCCGATGACGATTTAGTTTGAGTTCAATCTATACATCGGAATGGATGCGATATTTCTTGCGTCCCACGTCCGAGGCGCATCGAATGCAGCATCAGATGCTGTCCGGTGGACCGGACCACTGGGCCAATGAGGACAGGGAATTATTGTTTTGCGTCCGTTATCGCCAAAAATGTTTTCGAATGAAAGAACAATGTATCAAAGTTGTGTAGTAAATAGTTTGCAGGGAACTTTAAACAGAGCAACACTGTCTTTATAATGGAATAAACCCCTCATCCCTCGTTCAGCCTGTTCTGAATAACAAGCAAATGTTTATTGATATCTAAGTGTCTTGTTCTTTATTTCTTTATTCACTTTGTGCATGCTTTTGTATTGATTGGGAACTTTTGCCTATGCGGGGGTGGCTGGGGTTACACATTTTTTAACATCTACTGAAAATACAACATAACATCAAGATCTTTTGAAAGGTTGAGAAGCTGCTCAGACTTTGTGCCCTTTGGTTTGACTCTTAAGATATTCATGGTAAAAAAAAATTAAAAGTCTAAACAAACCAACTAAACCGTATGATGTGAGAAATGATGTGCATACCCCTCAGATTCCATCAATCTTCACTAAACTATTTAAAAATGAGACAGTGAATAAGTAATTTGGCTATGATGTTGGGTTTGTGATCAGGGAAGTCCATGGCTTGCTTTAGAGGGACTACACAAACACATATTTGTAATTTCATATATGATACAGATATTTTCAATGTTCATTTAAAAAACAAATAAATTGAATTTTCATTTCACACCATCCAGCCGACCAGGGACGACCGGGGCTGGGTGATAAACCCCGTTGGACCCAATCCCTGGTGGACCACCATTGTCACCTGCATCCCTGCGCTGCTCTGCACCATCCTCATCTTCATGGACCAACAGATCACAGCTGTCATTATTAACAGGAAAGAGCACAAACTGAAGGTATTTCTGATCATAAGTACATCCCCCCCCCATCTTTCTTTTAATGGAAAAAAATAGTTCTATATATATAACAAATCCTTCTGCCCTCACAGAAAGGCTGCGGCTATCACCTGGACCTGTTTGTGGTGGGCTTGATGCTTGGCGTGTGCTCGGTAATGGGCCTGCCGTGGTTCGTGGCAGCCACCGTGCTCTCCATCTCACACGTGAACAGCCTGAAGCTGGAGTCGGAGTGCTCGGCTCCTGGGGAGCAGCCCAAGTTTTTGGGCATCCGAGAGCAGCGCTTCACTGGCCTCATGATCTTCACCCTGATGGGCTGCTCCGTCTTCATGACCTCTGTGTTGAAGGTCTGTTTCACCCATGCAGAACAGCACATCAGAACCTTAAACTGTGCTCTTCAAAGTTTGTTCGGTTGGAAAATAATTATTTGACACATCTAAAGGAGTCAAGGTTCTGATACAGCCAAAACAGGCCAACACTTCCCTGGAGTATTAAGTATTAAAGTCGGGGAATCTGAGGCTTACTACTTAACCTCTGACCCCTATAATACCCAGCATACTTCTACACAGTTACAGAGAGCAGCATTAACATGCACACTAAAGCTTTTTAAAGGCTTTTCGCAACACTGCAGCAGTTGCATAACTTTAGCTTCTTTGGTAATTAAGAGCCAGTTTAATAATTATATGCAGTGGGAAGTCCATTAATTACGAGCTTTTTTAGAACTCAAAGCTAGAAACTTATTTTATGTTATTATAACAATTCTTTTCATGTCATCAAATAAGCGATGTGGGTTTTGATAAAAAGAGGTTTTCACCCTGATTATGATTTTCTTTCTTTTCTTGGTCTTACGCGACATAGTTTATCCCCATGCCAGTGCTGTATGGAGTCTTTCTATACATGGGGGCTTCCTCCCTCAGAGGCATTCAGGTGAGCTCTCACATAGGCTGTGGTGTTTTATTTTTAATACATGCAAAAACAAAAATGCAAAAAAATGAAGGGTTTATGTCTTTAGTTCTTTGACAGAGTGAAGCTGTTTGGCATGCCGGCCAAGCATCAGCCGGACTTCATCTACCTTCGCCACGTACCGCTAAGGAAGGTGCACCTCTTCACCATCGTCCAGCTCAGCTGCTTAGTCCTGCTCTGGGTCATCAAAACCTCCCGAGCTGCCATTGTTTTCCCCATGATGGTAACCTAAGCGTCTTTTTTTTTTCTCCCTCCTTTGAAACTTTTGCTCCTGGGTTGGGCATCTGATTGATTTTCTTGTTCTTCTTTTCCTCCCTCCTCAGGTTTTAGCCCTGGTTTTCATTCGCAAGTTATTGGACTTAATTTTCACAAAGAGAGAACTGAGCTGGTTGGATGACCTGATGCCAGAGTGGAAGAAGAAGAAACTGGAGGATGCTGAAGAAGAGGTGCAGTAACACCCCACAAATTTTGACTTTTGGTGCTAATGGATTTAAAGCCACTGCAACATAAATATTTGACTTTTTCCTCTCCCTTTTTACAGGAAGAACACAGTATTATAGCAGAGGAGGAAGGCATTGTGCAAGTTCCTTTGGAAGGGCACTACAAGTGGGTCATTTAGATTTCTACATTATCTTTCCCATCTTTTGTCAGGCACAGATGGGATATTATCTGGATAACAGCTCTTGTGCTGCATTATACATTGGGTTATAATTACAGCCATCATGCCACATTCACTAATGGACCATGTCTCTTCATGTCATGAAGAAAAAATCAGATAATGTCAATTACCATGATTAGAAGGAGGGAGGGAGGAAAAGGCCGGGATTGTTATAGTGGAGCAGGACCAAGGCTGTGGACATGGGACACAAGGGGACTGAGGAGGAAACTGAGACTTATTCATACAAACGACTGAACCAGATAACAATTACTAACAAAAATACAAAAACCCAAAAGAGCCGAACAAGATAGACAATGAATGAGGAAGAGACAAGGGGTCAGGAGGAAACTGCTGGATGATGAAAAGAGTTGAGACAGCAGACAGCAGAGAAAGGGACAGGCCTGAAGACAGGACCTGACTAAGAGGGATTGAAGAGGGTGATTAATGAGTCGAGGCAGCCAACGACAAAGGTGCCCTGGAGAAAGGAGCCGAGTTAATGACCAGAGTATAGAAAAAGCCCCATAGCAGGCCAAGGATGAAGATGGCAAGGAGCAGAAACTAATGAAAACAGGAATGGAAAAGAAAACAGAAAGCAATAAGAATGAAACATTAGAAACAGTACAATCATGAACACTGCCGGGTCAAACTCAAGTCCTTGTTCCCATCACTTTTTATTTTGAGAGCTGTGCACATTTTCATCAGGTTGTTAACATTGGCAATATTCTCATTTTACTTTGTGGGACAACCTACTCATTTGGAAAAGTCATTGCAGTCCTTGTGTTTGAACTCTTAAATTTGAATAACAGTTTTAGACTGTATGATGAATATCCCATCAGTTTTATGTCTAATTTTGGACCTCTTATGTGATCCAGTTTGACCACCCTGTTTATGACGAGTGAAAGTCCCTTCCTGATGAGATGAAAGTTCTCCTGAATATCTGGGCAAGAGGAACATTAAAAAGAATAAAGAAAAACATTCTTTCTCTACGGTGTGTTTAAAGGAGTGACCCGGCCACAGTCAACATCACTGACGAGATGTCCAAAGGGTCTTTCGGGAGCGCGTGGAAAAGCGTCAGCCCTGGTGAGAGCACTAAAAAGGAACCGAGCGCTAAAAGGTGAGCTACGCCAGCATATCATTCCAGCTGCGCCCATTCCAGATCCCAAAAGTATTCTTTCCTGGTTTAAAACGTTTATTCCAATAAGCTTGGATAGCAGCAGTAGGGGGCTCATTGTTAAACTGTTACAGAACATTTAGCTCATGCAGCCATGAGGGAAAAAGAGATTATGTTTGTTCAATAGCAGTCATGCCCATGCAGATGTCCCACTGAGTAGACTAATATAGTATGTCCTGCCTGCCTTTTGTCACTTCACCCCTCCCCTAAAGCTCCCCTTCCTAACCTCTCAGAGGCTGATACCCCAAAGGTAAGCTGATCCCAGCAGATCCTGTCAGACAGCACAGCGTGTCTCGGTCCTGTGTGTTCACTCAGCGCCGCCTTTTGCACGACAAAAATGTTGCCAGCCTGCGCTACGGGTTACGACTTGGGTTCCGAGTAACAGGGTGATGCTTTGGATGTTGCGTGATGTGGGAGCATGTGTTTTTAAAAAAAAAAAAAGAAGATGTTGCATGCCATCAAAATCTACAAGAGATGTGCAGAAAAGTAGCAGGTTTTAAAGGGTTGGCAAGCTTCCATGCACCACTGCATGCATTTGCATGCAAGTTTGCACGCCTGCCGAGCATGTCATTGTTTTGTTTTCCCTTTTTGTTTTTTTTAACATTAATCACCCGGTTAAATCGTCCCATTTCCAGTTGTGCCGGAGGCGGTGAAAAGCGACACAAGCGGCGGAAGCATGAGAAGAGCTTGGACAGGGAGACAAGTTTGTGATGACACATGCTGGTGGTGACGCAGTGCTGTCAAACCGTAGATAGAAAAAAAAAAAAAAAGATTAAAAACAGCTGTTCCGTGCCACACTCAACCACCTTTGTACTGTGCTGCACTGTGGTTTTTGTTTGTTCGTTTGTTTTTGCCTTTTTTTTTGTCACGTAAGTCTGTGTAGACGTCGCGTAAAACAAAGAAACACTTGTTAGAAACTGTATTAACACGTGGGAACCAAGACACATCTCTGTTCTTTTCTATGTATTCAGTGTTTGGTGATACCAGCAACAGAGAGAAGCCAGAATCTTGAATCTTAACAGCAACTGGGCCAATATATATATATATGTATACACACATGAATTTTAAACCGTTTTTAAAGTCTTCTTTGTTTGTATTTTGTATGTTTTTTATATTTTTCCAACTACAACTGCAAGTTGTCCTTTTAAAAGCCTGCCACACACAACACGATTAGTACAATCTGAAGCATGTAGTGCTCCAGTTCAATTGCACACCTCACCATAGAAAACTGAGTAGATATTTGCCAATTTCAATCTATTCCACTGGTAACTAAGACAGTTGGCTACAGAGCAAATCTAGATTTTTTTGTTTTTAAAGAATTGAATATCCATTTTTATATATTTCTGTAAATCTAATAGTTTTTGAGTAAGTGATCGTCCATATCACTGTAAAATTCTCTATTCCAGTCAAGCATTGTTTCCAGCAAGTTAATGGAGTAGTTAAATTTTTATTGTTCTTTTTTTTTTTGTTTTTTTTTTTTTTTTTTTTTGCTGAGATTCGAAAGATGTTGATACTTCTCATGTCTGCATGATAGACACTTGGCCAAAACCAAGCATGGATCTGGCTTTTTGTGTTGAACGTGGAAACGGCTGCTCCGCACTTGGAGTTATACAAGCCTCTCAAAATCAATCAACCCTTTTTTATCTCTTGAAAACACAGTCATTAAAAGCATCCCACAGATAGCTTTGTGTTTATCACAGACAAGAGACATATCGACTTTTTTAAAGGTCTCTTGCAAAAGCAAGAAAACATTTGTCCCAACTGTTGCATTTTCCTTGCCTGCAATATATTTCAGGAGCAGCTTAATGGAAAAATTATGTTTTCGAGCTCGCATGGCAGCATAGTTTGGCAGCTTTAGCTTTCCTCAGTAGATCAGCCTTGGCTTTAATTGAACAATAAAAGATGAAAGACAAACCTATATGCTTAACTGTTGGGTGAGTGTACAGAAAGCTCTGTGTTTTCCTTCTGCATAGCCAGCGTCATTTTGTCAGTAAGTGTCATCCATGGATCTCCTCCCTAAACGACCCTCATTGTGTTAGCATATGAAGCTCATAGCTTTCTCAAAAGAAACACCTGCATGATGGCGACTCTTCTCTCACTGCAGGACCAACCTTACTTTTACTGATGCAATAATACTTTTGTTTTGTTTTTTTGGAAAAGGCAACATGTACTAAATAGTAAAGAGTCTTAACATTGTATAATACATAGTATATTTTATTGATGTAAAATGTTATTAATATATTACTAACATGAAATCAATGTTGGATTGAGATTTTTTTTGTCGTAGATGTTCTTTTCCCATTGTCTTATTAATGGATCTTAGTTGATTAGAGGAATTAATGATGGGTCAATACTATATCGACATCAAGTATTTTGACCACTTCTGTGTGGAATTCTGCCTTAAATTTGGTAGTGGTAGATGGACACTTTATGTTTAATAATCTAAGCCACTTGTATACAGAACTATTGGTTCAAATCTGTTGTGCAATCGTGACTTCTTGAGAATGAGAGAATGTGTGTTTGAGAGAGAGAAAGAGAGAGAGCATTAATAAAGATATTAAACAGCCTAAACAAGAGGATGTTTGTGTTGTTGATTTTTCCTTCTTCATTTACAGGGCAACAATATGCTGCTATTGTTACATTTGTGTGGTGAAGAGATGAGGACCTAGATGCAGAGCAGCAGACCAGAAAAAGAACACTTCATATGATGACTTGGAGGTATTAAATAAAAACAAAAAACACACCAAAATCTACAAACCCCTAACCCCCTAAAAAAAAACCCTAACCCTCTCAGACAAAGAAAGCACCTAATTGTGCTTTTAAGGGTCCAAAAGACTCGTCACTGGGAGGTACCCTCAAAGATTATGCTGCTGGACTCTTGTAGGTTGCAGAATACTGCGTGGCTGTACCTTTCAGGGCCTCTAAATTACAAACGTGTATTGGGGTCTAGTTATTCACTCCATAGGATACATAAGTTGCAAAAACACCTCAGCTGAGAGAACACATTTAAACTAATTTTACGTTTCATATGTTGAAATACAACTAAATAAGAAAGGGCGGCCACAAAAAGAACATGAATGAAAAAAACTTTATTTGGCAGAGTAGATTATTCAAAGGCAACAATCAAACATGAGCCATCCACACGAGCCGAGGCCTACCTGAGATTGAACCTGTGTTCTTGCTATAGCTTTTTAGAAATATAGAAAATAACGTGCCCTGAATTTGCACTCTTCCCGTTTATCACCACATACACATGGAAGATTAAAAGTAGGTTTTGTATCTTTGCAATACATTCAACATGGAGTAGAAAACTTAAAGAAATATTGACATTCAAGAGATGCAGATCGGTATGGCTTCTTATTCCTGCTGAAAATGGCTTTGCATGCAGCCTCTTTTGAAGAGAATGTTATTGGTCCTCTTGCCTTTTCTTACTGCAAAGAGAGAGGACACATTGACACTCACGCCAGGCCTGGCTGTTGAAAACATGACAGATCAGATGTGGTGACGCAGCGTTACCTTTCCCCTGAAGGCTTCGAGGTCATGACCCAGAGTAAATATTCCTTGGCAGCCATCGAGTCCAGCACTTTGTTCACATCGCTGGTGAAGCTTCCATCTACATGCCTCTTGCTGAATGCTTCACCCAATCTGAGTATGTACACAGGGACACAATGTAAACAGTGCCCATCAAGGGTCAGTGACCCCAACAGTTTGGCGAGCTGCCATTTGAGCTTCAATGATTGACATCTGGAAATCATCATTTGTTGCCATGGATATATTTGCTGTTATATCGGGAGGAGAGCGTCACATTCTTGACGTGTGTTTGTGTTTCATGGTGCAGTGCAGTGGTATATAAATCAACACGTGGGAAAAGTTCAGGTGATTTATTGCAGCACAACCACGAGAAACATCAATCAGAAGAGCAAAGGGGGGTAGGGTGGGATCAGAAAAACAACAAGGAAAAGCTGATTAGGGTCAAGATCACCCTCTCTCGTCATTATGGTGGAATCAAGACACAGGTTGGCCGTTTTCAGGGGTTTGCGATGCTGTAAGGGGAGCATGAAGAGGATACGGGTGGGGGGGGGGGGGGGATGGGGGGGGCAGCCTACTCTCTTCGGACTTGCCCAGACTTGAGCTTGGCGACAAAGTCTTTGATTGCCTGGTCCTTGAGGTACGAGCTCACGTCGCTGGTGAAGGTTCCGTCTGCGTGGCGCTTGTCCGCAGCATTGCTGCAAAACACAAAGCAGGGCTCAGTGAAGGCAGGCGGGGAAAATCTGATTCTGTTTGGACAAATTAAACATTTCATATGGGAGAGGTACAAAAAAAAAAAAAAAAAAAACAAGACGCTTTTGAATGATCCGGCAACAACCTGCTCCTCTTGTTGTTCATCAGCCACTGGACAAAGTCCTGCGCCTTTCTGTCCTCCAGATATTTACTGTAGTCGTTTGAAAATGTTCCCTCCGAGTGTCTCTTTATGTTTAACAGCTCCCTGGGCTCAGCAGCTAACGTGTCGTCTGCCTCGAAGCTGCAGAAAAGAAAAACATGCTGAAACATGGAGAGGAAGCATCTGTGGCTCACACATGTATATGAAAGAAAAACATACAAAATAATGGAGATGTGCACTTTAAATTGGACCATTTAATTATTTTTCTCTTTTATTCAAATAAATGAAGGGCCAAGTTTTGAACACATAACGTTTCCGTCAATGTAAATGAGATATTTATTGGAGTGGAACACCAGCTTTGTCCACCCTCCACTCGGTTTGGACTGAACAGGGACAGAGCCACATCCATTTTAGTTTCTGTTAAGGCTATTTTTTTCGAAATGCTCAAATGTTTGTCAAGCCTTTTTGAAAGAACTGCAAGGAAATGACGTGAAAAGTTTGAAAAAGGACACAATATTAAATGCAAAACTTCTTTCTATATCGCTTGAGGTTTACCGAGATCATACAATAAGAGACCAAAGGAGAAAAAACCAGTGGGCAGTTCAATTCAATGCTATGGTCACTCATAAGAGTTCTCATCTAAAAAAAAATTTTTTTAATCAAAGCTTTTTTGAATTTTCGCCACTTATGTCAGTTATGTTGTCATGTTTCACAGACTATTGACTTTTATTTAATTTAGTTAAAATTTTTTAACTAGGATACATTTCTGAGAAAATAACCCAAAGAAATCACAGATTTTTGACATTTGGTGGTGGTCATTTGGTCAGTTTTCTATTCCCTATGATTTTGGTGTTGTTCCGCATGGATTGAATAAAAAAGGTTTAAAACTCTCACTCAGACATGATCAAAATGACTGCATGGTGAATCAGGGATTCGTACCTCTCATCGGCCTCCAGAAGAGGAACCTGCCAACTGCTCTGGACAAAGCAGAGGAGCAGGAGGAGGCCAGCGAGGGACTGGATGCTTTTCATGGTGGTATCCTGTGACAGGGAGAGGCCACACAGACACAAACAGGCACTTGGCCTAAACAACAGAACCGGGCATCTGAAGTTAAAGAAGTTCCCCAACCACACAAAAGATACAACTCACCTTTTTTCTTTGGTCCTTCCAAACAGCAAGAGTCAACTGTTAATTCCTCCTTTAAGCGTCTGTGTGCATGTATGTATCTACCGTGTTGGCTTTGCAGTATTTTATACTGGAGGAGGGCGGATCTGCTCAGATGGGCCTGTTTAATTACACTGCCTGGTCATCCTGTTACTCTCAACCCATTAGACACGAGGCCCCTCTGCAACGCCTGGGCCATGGAGCCGAGCGTTTGTCCGTGAGAGGAAAGGTGCCGTTCATGCGTGATGCCTGCTTGTACTTAGGTGTTAAGATCAAACAATTCCTGCTCATCCTGTCAAACAGAAAGTCAGGGGGATGTTTTAATTTGCTACTGTGTCATCACGATAGGAAGAGATATGTGTCCTGATATATTTGGACGGTGAGTCAGTATTTGTGGATTCGTTCCGTTCAGATTCAAAGGAATGGAAATATCGATGACTTTTATATTTTTATATCAGTGGTGGTTATCTGTGCTTTACAACTGTCTCCATTCAATAAAAAGCAATAAATATTTTGTTGTTTCGTTTTTTGCATTTCTGCTGTGAGATTATCACAGTGTCACCTCTTTTTATTAATTTGATGAAAATTAGGACCTATCATGATCATAACAATGCCGAATGATTTAAAGGTTATTTTCATTATCCAACATTTTTACAGAACCTTATAATTATTCAGTAAAGTAAATTATGCTTGGTATGAAAACTATTTGACTTGTATCATAAAACAAAGCTGGATCCAAAACATATGTATAGTGATCAATTAAATGACCAAAAATAATCAGCAGTTAGTGAATGTTGTCATTACATGTTCTTAACAATTTGCATGATTCATCAATTGAGTCGATGCTCAGTAATAGAAGTATAAGTAGAAGTGTCATGTCTTCTTGATTACCTATTGTGTACACCTGGGGTTCCCTTCCCTCATGTGTGTAAATAGTCCTCGTCTCCCCTTGTCCTGTGCCAGTGTGTTTTTGTTCCTCTGCCAGTGAGTTTTCGTCATTTTGGGTTTTTGCTGTCTTTGTCTTTTCGTTCCTCGTCTTGCCCACACCAGGTAAGATTTTGAGTTTTGCACTTTGTCACAGCCTTGTTTTTGCTTCAGTCTTGTTTATTTTATTTTGATGCTTTTGCCATAGTCTTGTTAATCTTGTTTTGATACTTTTGCCATAGTCTTGTTAATCTTGCTTTGATACTTTGTTCATAGATTTGTCAGCCTTGTTTCGTACTTTGTCTGGACCACCACTCTTCTGACTGCGTTTTTTGTTAAAATAAACCCCTTTGAACCTCACTCTCCGCAACTGAGTCCTCCCTTAGATCCACCGCCCTGACAAGAAGGGCAGTGTGACAAGTATGTTCAGAAATAGCCCCCATCCCATTAAAAACATATTTAGTAAAGTAGCATATAGTTAGTTTTATTATCAGCATATGTGACTGTTATTTGCTTTGGTGTCCCAGACATCAGATACAACATTCTCACCATGTTACCTAAAAAAACAGATTGATTTCTACCCTTTGGTTCCCCTCACAATTGTGGGAGGTAATACCACTACCATAAAAAGTACAACTGCTATGTAAACAATGCAAGAGGATGGCCAACTTTTCACGTTCAGGATTTTAAGAATGGACAGACCCCAAGATGTATGAGGAGAAAGTATACAAGTAGGAAATGGCACAGAACACATTCAAGATTCAGGACTTTAATTAGACATAAACAGAGTTATACATAGTGCAACGTACAGTGACAATTCTTATGCACTGATCAAGTGCAAAGACTAAAATAAAACAAATAATACATATGGATGAAAATTAATTCTTGTGTTGGCATTGAGTGTGTTGTACCAGTGAGCAGGCGGGCAGCCTCTCTTCCTGCCTGCATTGTTGTAGTAAATGTCTTGCAGTTTGGAGAGGGTGGTGGTTCTGATGGTACACAAAAACTGAGCGGACCCCCCTCCACAGGGCCGGGAACTCCTGCTGGGTGCTGCTGCCCATCCAGGTGATGATGCTCCCAGCCCAAACACCCTCAATGCTGCAGGTGCAAAAGGTCCTGAGCACCTTGAGAAGGTGCTTTTCTTTATGTCAAAAAATCTCAAATTGGGGAAATCCATCTTTTATGCCCACTATTCAAATACATTAATAGTTTTTAAGTCTGAATTACACAACAACACACAGCAGTGGCTTTTTTAAAATTGAGTTTATTAAAAAAAATTCAATTCAACGAACAACAAAAGAAAATAATTTTTTTTTGTCAAATTGTATACAATCAAGTTGGTGCCTTACATGTGTATGCATAATTTAATATAATAATACGGTTGCACTTTCAAAATATATCGGTGTGTTCCACAATTGATGCTGTCACATATTTTCCTGAGCTTCGACATATTTTAAATACTGTATTAGATTTACAAACTGTATAAAATAAATCAAAGTTTCATGGAGATTTGTCATGAGGGAAAAAAAAAAGTTCAGAGCATTTTGTAGTCATGCAGCGACATGGAGGCCAAATGTGTTAACCACTGCATTATTTCTGTGGTATTTCAGTGAGTTTTAGGAAAAACACCGCAGTAGGAAGTGACTCATGTGAGTGTAGACATGTTGATTTGCAGAACCGGTGAGGCCATGATCCTTATCAGTGTACCACTGAAACAGGAAGACCACAATGAGTTCGAGGAGCAGTGTCAAAAACCTTATGGGATAAAAACTTCATGTTCAAAGCTACATTTCCATTTGAATCCATACACTTTTAAGAATGAATTGTTCACTATGTTAAAAAAGGTAAGTTGTTAGTCTTTGGAGATTTCCTATGAGAGAAGAATGAAGGTGGCATTTTAAAAATGTGAAGTTACCCATCAGTGTAGCAGAATGAATAAAAGGTAAGAGGATATCAAGTCGGAAAGAGGAAGGAGGGGAGAAAAACAATTATGCAGTTTACTCGCAAAAGTTTGCTGTGTTCATCGCAACAGAAGATGGTTGTTATCTCCAAGGCGACAGCTAGATGTCATTGACTGTGTCCAGATAACTCACCATGGCATCAAAGTCCACCTGTTCATCCACCAAAGCCTCTGAGATCTCAGCCGCCTGCTGGAAATGAACATTATCTGGAAGAAGGCACATCACAGATTAGCAAAGATCCCTGTCGTGGACCAAAGTGTTGCTCAAGTCATCCCTTTATGATGAACTCACCTAGCCCTGAACGGGTATCTGAATTAATTTAGAGGGTGCTCTGATAAAGCTTTTACAATCATAAAAAGGGTTGTGGTTCAGCAATGAATCAGCCAGTAGACTGAGAACTGAATACTCACCATCAGCAGTTCCGTGAACTAGAAGATACTGCACCGCGTGGAAATTCTTGGCCCTGGCAGTTACCGTTGAGTTCTGCGCAGATTCACATTTATGTACAGACAAAGTGTGACGTGAAAGTGTATTTTAGATTTATCCAATATGAATATTTTGGGCATTTTCGTGTCAAGGACATTAAGGTTACTCTTCCTGTGCAGTGGGTATTTTTGCTAACCTCGCACGTGACAAAAGCAATAAAGACGAGCTGATACCGAGGCTCTGCGGGGAGTGGGACTTACATTGTAGGCGTCGGGATTCTCCGAAGGCTGCATCATGTAGCGCTCTGTGTAGATGGAATCTGGTGGAAGCATTCAATGGCAGCTATGACAATGCAGTTGTTGTGCAAAGGGAGAGGAGCGAAACTTTCAGGCAAAGGAAGTACCGTAATATTCCCATTTGGACACTGGAGCCACTGCCATCCCACATTTGAAAACTCCGCTGCCAGAGCCCAACACCATTGAAGTCACATATCCACCATAGGACTGTAAAATGAGAAGCAGCTCATCTTTTGTTTGAGGGCCAGATACACAGTGAAACGTACACTCCACAAGTATTCATATATATATTATATATGTATATTCATTCATACATTGATGTATTCATGTATCATTAACTACTATGTGTGCTTCTTTCGCTAACTTTTTTCGTTGTCAAACATGTGATTACTCACCCATCCCCAAATTGCAACCCTGTCCTTGTCAATGAAGCCCATTTTGACAAATTCCCTATAAGAAAAGGTCAATAAACTTTACTTTACAGCAGATCAGCAAACAGGGGTCCAATAATCCCTGACATCATTGCAGGCTCACGACTTTTCCACTGCATTATGTCCCAGTGTGAATGAAAGCATCTCGGCCACAGAAAACAAGTCACATCCAGTTTGGGCAAAGAGTTGATGGAGGGTGCAAGATGTTTGTTTGAGATGTGCTGACTTTTCTAATCGGCCTCCACTTGCTCAACTCACTGTGCGGCCTTTATCTGATCTTCCACCTCATAGGTTCCCAGACGTTTGTAGAGTTCGTGCATTAACTCGTCGCCCTGGTAACCGCTTCCTCTTCCATCAAAGCTTGCAACAATGATTTTCTCAGTACTGGCAAGGTAGGTGGACCAGCTCACCCTGTACCTGAAGTCTGCTTTCTGACTGCAGGGTCCTGCATACCTTGAAAGTTGGGCCGACAATCTCAGTTAAACACAAACCTCTTGTTACTATTATGAAACGTTTTTCTTTTTGCTCATCAAAGGCAATTCTTACACGTCTATGAGTAATGGGTACTTCTTGGACTCATCGAAGCCTGGAGGTAAAAACATCTGATACCAGAGATCTGTCAGAAAAAACACAGGAACGATTTCAACTTAGCAGGCAAGGACAAATGTTGTTTTTCGCTCTTTAAAAGTGTTTTACTGGAAAATCTAATCTGGAAATGTATGTAAAGATGACACAGTCAAAGCTGTAAATTATCTTTAGAGTGACTCTCATACTTTCCAGGCATCCTGCCACAATTATAGCCTTGTTTTAAATGGCATACAGATAAGGCATCTTGCTCTTCATGAGTCATGCAGTGACATAAGCCACAGACAAGAATCTAGATAGTGATTTTTATGACCTTCTCTTCATTTACTCCCAGGCTGAAGAAGACGAGACACATGATGCGAAAGGTATATAGTTTTGCATTTAAAATGAGGATGTAGGCTCACTGTTTCTCTTCAACTGAGACAAACAGTGAGCCACTGCATGTTTTTTTGTTCTGGTTTCTTTGTCATTACTCTTTTATCCACTGTTTTGGCTCTTAGCTCTGCTGCACACCTGCCTCCACTATCAGACACAGCCGCAATCCCTTCCTCATTTGTTCTCTTCAGCTTTTATTTTCCCTGGTTAGTCTCAGTGTCAGACCCTTGGGGATAATACCTCATTTGGTATCCTCTGTTTAAACAGGGTCCCCTTCCTCTCATCATTTTAGCCGGGTTTGATGGTCCCTCGACACATGCTGGGCACTGTGAGTCTGGGAAATTTATTGCCTGAATGCAACAGTTCTCTTTTAAAAGCTTGGATTTCTTCAAGTGTTAAAAGACATCAGAGCTGCCGGCAGGCCTCTGTCCACTGCTCACACCACGTATTGTTTGTGGTAAGAGTGTTCTTTGTCAAGGTGAAGACAGAAGATAGTGTGAATATCTCAGACATGGTGCTATCCATGAGTTTGGGCTATCCATGCACCGAAGGTGAGTACACGTGGGCCACCATGCTATGGGTTATGGATAGGGTCCTTCATTGTTGTTATTCTGTTTCTATCTGTTCCTGTTGAAAATGTCCCCAATAAGAAAAAAAAGATGAGTCTGAACACTCTTTTCTCCAAAACATCCTCTACCCATTGTCACGTCTGGGGGAATGTCTGGTGTGTTGTCATGTCTTGATTACCTATTGTGTACACCTGGGGTTCCCTTCCCTCATGTGTCCTCGTCTCCCCTTGTCCCGTGCCAGTGTGTTTCTGTTCCTCTGCCAGTGAGTTTTAGTCATTTTGCTGTCTTTGTCTTTTCGTTCCTCGTCTTGCCCATACCAGGTAAGATTTTGATTTTTGCACTTTGTCACAGTCTTGTTTTTTCCACAGTCTTGTTAATCTTGTTTTGATATTTTTGCCACAGTCTTGTTGATCTTGTTTTGATACTCCGTCTGAGTGCATTTTGTTAAACCCCCCTCGAACCTCTATCTCTGCAACTGAGTCCTCCCTAAGATCCACCCCTCTGACACCCATCCTATTTTTTTTCCCACTCTGAGGTGAATTCACTCACTGTATTTGCCATGTTTGATGGTCCCTCGACGCATGGTGGGCATTGAGACTTGGGAAATTTGTTGCCTAAATACACTGTTGTCCTCCAACGCTTTGATTTCTGCAAATGCAAAAGAAGATATTTCAACTTCATGTTTGCTGTCCCCTTTAGTCCTTCTAGAGTCATTCCCAAAGGGTTGTTGCTTCTTACGGTTATTGCTCGTAGTTTCCATGAGAGCATATGATGGAATGCCGGGACCTGAAGGCAAAGATCACTGTGATATTATTTATACAAACACATGTGTGTGTATGTGTGATTATTATACAGAGAGTGATATTTCATTTTCAAAAGACAAAAGAAATACTGACCACTGCAGCTCAAACGATAATAAGAGGCATTGTGGCTGAAGTAAGCCGAGTTATATTCACAGTCTACATGAAACGAACAAGTCAGACATGTGCTTGCTCCGTTGGTCCACCTGACGTCCAAAAAACGAACGCAATGTCAATCTGGCTCAGTCACAGAAAAATACCCTCATCTTTAGAAAGCAGCAAATTCAGATAAAACCCCATACTTGTAAATGTTCCTTCCTCCTGGCTTGCCGTCCTTTTCATTGCTTGAATAATATCTGCAGAGAAATTGTGGAGAAAGTGGCCGGATAGACCTCAGTGATTAAATTGATTAATTGAATGCATAATTGAATTGTTTTGGGAACTACATTTGTGTAAACCCTTTCACATCGACAATGTAGAAAAAAAGAATGGGAAAATATTTCTTGGCAATTTTTTCCATTTCTTTGGAACAAAAACAATCACCAATAATCAATGCAATTTTTCAAAGACAGTTAGGATGATGCTTTACGGTAAAAGTATACATTTTAAAAAAGCAACATCATAATTCCTGCTTAATTTAGAAATCACATACTTAAATCTAATTTTAGAGCTAATTTAGGTAAGTGCACTTCCTATAGTGACTGAGAATAATCAGTGAAAAATGTGAGCAGGATGCGGAAGTGTTAAACCCACAAATGTGTCAAGAATGTACTGATAGAATTGATTATCAATCCATTATCAATATCACTTATTCCTAGTAGGGTTGTAAGGGGCCTGTTCAGGTCGCCATTCCATCACTGGGTCACACAGAGCCACACACTCGCATGGTAGACTATACCACTTACTTTGACAAGTGATGGTTTATTAAGATAAAGACAGACCTGAATCCTCTTTCCAAATGTATTGAATCACCAAAAGAAGAAGTTAGTGTCGGCAGGTTTTGGTAAAGTCGAGCAGAACATCACTTACACGCTATCCTCTGTGACTTTCAAGATGTCTAAAACTTCCCAGGATCCCGAAGTAATGGGCGTAATGACTCCCTGCATAAATGGGCCAGAGAAAAATGCATGTAGGAGTTGCAGCAATATGCTCCAGGAAACTAAGTTGTTTTTTTTTTTTGTGCAGGACCCAAAATAAGAAAGTGATTACCCACCTTATTCACATGCTGGATGTGCTTGTACTTATTGCTGTCGCTCATGACCAAATAGTAGCTGTTCTTGTCGGCAGAAAATACAGGCTCTGCCGGGGAAAACTAAGAAGAAACACTGTATATGTGCATGTCTTTGGCAGAGAGATGAAACCCACACTATAGGTGTGTGTGTGTGAAGGTTGACATGTATGTTAAAAATGAAACCACTGCAACAGAGCCAGTGATCTGTTGCTAGCGGGCTTTGGACAACAGCAAACTTCTATCACAGATGATAATTGTACGCAAACATTCGTCAAAAATACAGGAAAAAGGGTGAAAAAGTGATGAAACAACAGTCCCCGCTGTCCTGAACATACCCTTCCAATCCATCCGCCGCTCTGACGTATCTCCTGATCCTATAAAAAGATAAACCACGTCTATTTATAGCTTCACTAAGGCATATTTGACGACATTTCACTGGCTTTATCAGCTCTGTTGCTCTAACCTTGATTGACCAATGACACATTGCAAAACAAAATCGTATTTGTTAGCTTTTTAACTGGTGGGACCCCGAGAAATCCCCAGTTGTTTCCAATGTGATACAGATAGGTCCTTGTAAGGTAAAAGTTTTTTTTTTAAAAGGAGGTTTTGGAGCGAGATATCTTTATTTATTTTTTTAATAGGTTAGAGTTGCAATTTCCCAGCTTTGGATAAATAAAGTATATCTATCTAGTAGTCAAGAATTACTTTGTTCCTCTTCATGTATAATGTTTCATGCTGCGCATAAGTCGCATTGTGTCATTTTACTGGTTGCTGTAGTTGATTGTTGGGGGATTTACCTCGACAGGATTCCAACTAGTTCCGTTAAAGCTGTAGATCTGAAGGATGAGATGGTTTTGTACTCGCTTTAGCCACTGAACAGCCAAACGCTCATCTGTCACCCAAGTAACAGTTGCCAAGTAGTGCTCACTGCGTGTGTGGGGAGAGAGGGGGGGTTACCAACACTGAAGTTTGTCTAAAATTTTAAGAGAGCAATTGATGAAGTAGAAAGTGATAGATTACACTGTGCTGAATAAGGCTGGAACAACAACTTCAGTGACTACTGTTGTGTTACTAGTGTCCACAACAAACAGCTTCACTACTGGGTTTGGAGTGCCTGGCTGCAAAGAAAGAAGAAAAGGTTTACTTTATGTCTCAAGATGGATCAGAAATCAACTGAGTGAAGTGTGCCCCCCACCTTCTTAAAATCTAACAGATTTGTTTCGGGGGGGGGGGGCAACTTCACTCAGCTATAAAATTCATAGCCTGGATGACCCACCTTTGGATAGGGAATGGAAACAGTACCAGGGTACTGTCTATCGCCAAACCAGGAGTACTCTATCGTGCTAACCCCAGTGTCATTAAACTCAGCATAGGCCACGCGCCTCCCTCCAGGTGACCACCAGAGGCCCTGATTGGACGAGAACATCTCCTCTGTGAAGATGTGAAGATAAGGCAACTCTGTTAATCTTCTAAAACACTCATGTCTATTGGTGTCAGAATACAGCGGATCAAACCTCTGTCAGACATTTCATCGATAATATTATCGATGGCAAAAGTTTGTGAAAAAAAGAAAAGAAAAAGGGTCATGTAACACTACATACTTGAACTGGAGAAGTTAAAGAAACTAAAACATTCAACATATCTCATTAATCATAACTAATCTCCTATAAATGTTTTCAAAAGGTCATGAAATATTGTTCTTATAGTGTTAATTTACAGTGTATCTCCTTTTTATGGCTGCTTTAATAATGGGGAATTAATAGTATTGCTTTACATCTGGCATAAGAAGATCATCAGTATCAGGATGTGTTACATTTCGTTGGGTGGAGACTGAGATTATATCAGCCAGCCCACATCTGGAACTGATCAGGCTCGCATTATGATGCCAAGAGTAAATGCTTGACCACATTCTTGAGGAAAAAAAAAAATCCAAACCCACTTCACATAGCAAGCAGCTTAAAAATAAACGTCTAGATTATGAAGATCACAAAACATTTTCCTTACCCTCATACACCCAATCTGGGATCCCATTTAAAATCTGATCCCGCAGCCCGTTAAACGTGACTTGCTGTGAGGACGACTCCGGGCTCGTCTTTATGTACACGTTGTTGTCCCACACATAGGCCTGGGGAAAAAAAATTGAGTTTTTAGGAAAAACTGTTTAAATGATTAACTTTCAAGCATATGAGCATTTGCCTCACCAGTTTGTTCCCTTCAGGGGCCCAGGCGAAGTACTGGACATCGTCAGGAATGTCAGAGGGACTGATAAATTTGCTGACAGAGATTTGCACACCAAGAGTGTTACTTCACTTCCATGCTTTAGTCAGATATGCCTTACAAACGCTCGCAGCTTCTTTTTCAAAGAAACGTAAAGATGTCCACCTGCTTTGAATATCTTTTAGCTTTTGTTTGCTGCATTATCACAAGGACACAACTTTCGTGAGTAATATGAAAAGGGTGTTGGGTTACTTACTCTGCTTGCCGGTCATACAGCGAATACGAGGCTGTAAATGAATGTCTCCAAACCTGACAGAGCAAAAACATTCAGGGTTCTTTTAAGCATTCATACATTCTGATTGTAATCTAGATTAAATATATGAATGTACCTTCATGTAGTTGCTCATGAATGCAACATATCTGTGGTCAGTGGACAGCTGGTAATCGTAGGCCTGTGCTGCATCCTGTGATATGAGGAGAAAAACAGGGATGTTCACATGACCTCACTGGGTTTTCTTTACTTTTTTTTTTTCTCAATGTGTACAATTAATGTACAGCAACAAAAAACAGACGACGATAAAGGAGGCGACTCACAAACTTGTCACTGCTCAAGAATTCCAAGACCGTATTTTTGGCCAAGTCATGAAGGAAGACAGAACCCTTTGAATTACGCAGATACTCGTGATCTGTGGCAAAAGTTGCAGAAAAGGACCGTTAGAAGGTGAAGACAGGCAAGACAAACCACCCCCACCAAAAAAAAAAAAAAATCCTGCCTGAAGATGCACTTGTTATTTGTGGGTAGACTGAAACACTGGTAATAAAGATGCAGCAAGAAGTGGGGGGCGTAACGAGCCTGTTAATTCTATTTTCTTGCAAACTCTTCAAGAGCACAGCTGCTAAAGTTTGAGGGATCGATCAAAGCTGGTGTGATTCTATGAGTATCCCCCTTATATGACACTAAAACTCGCTAAATATAGTTTGCCTGCGTTTTTTTATAAGATTGCCAGTTTTTCACAAAACAATCGAAAACAATTGGTATCGTGTAGGTGGGAGAAAAATGGAGGGGAAAGAAAATCCTCTGGAGATGGTTAAAAAAGGCAGGCAACAACAGCTTTAACTCTATGAAAAAGCAAGTGAAGAAGGACGTGAAAAGCACGGGCCTCATCCCTAGCAGTCGTATCCACCTTAATCATTGAAATCATTCAGTCAATTTGAACCAATTCTCAGACTTGTCTAACATTACACATTTAAAATTGATATCCTAATTTCCTGCTCATTGCATTGACAGGTGACACTATAATTCAAAAAGTCCTGAGCCTGTATCCTGACTTGTAAATAATAACAACATTCACATCTCTGAGGCACTCTTAGGGCTTATCAACCACCCCACGGACCAAACCCATACAAATAAAATACCTCAACAAGGCACATCAATATAATGAATTATTAACCAGAAGAAAGAGGGCTAAAAATGAAAGATAATCATTTTACAATGACACTTGCTGTATTATAGTCCTGTACACACCTTGCTGTTATCAGTGTCATCATGTACCGTACTTCTCTTTTCTTTTGTGATAGCTCTTACCAGAAATCCACCTCATGCTGTAAGACTTTGGCTTCAATGAACTGTTGAAGACGTCTTCCAGGGTAAAGGTCTTCT